ATAGATATGGAAGTAAAGAATGTGATCGTTAGAGGCGATTCTCTATTGGTAATTCACCAATTGATTGGTGATTTTAAGTGTTAAAGTGATTCCATTATAAGTTAATAAGAAATCGCCCAAGAGTTGTTGGAAAAATTCGACCAAGTAGAGCTTCAATGTGTTAATAGGATATATAATGACGTAGCAAATGAGTTGGCCCAGATGGCCTCAAGGTATTCAAAGGTTTTAAATTAGAAATCTACTTATGAATATGGAGTAATATTGCCCGTAGTCCAAAGAAGGGCGAGAAGGATTGAAATTCATTACATACAAGATGGAGATGCAATAGATTGGAGGGCAGAGATTAAAAGGTCCCTTAAAGAACCTAATAAAGAAGATAGTAGAAAAATGAAGTTGTGTTTGCTAAACTATTGATAGATAAAGAGTTGTTTAAGAAACGCTCTGATGGTATATTACTAAAGTGTGTAAGTTTGCAAGAAGTCAGGACAATCATGGCTGAGGTGCACGAAGGGATATGTGGAGCTCATCAAGCTGAACAAAGGATAAGATGGTTAATTATTAGGAATGGATATTTTTGGCCCAAGATGGGAGAATCACGTGTTCAATATGCAAAGAGTTCTTTAGCATGCCAAAAGCATGGTCCAATACAAAGGGCGCCAGCAAGAGAAATGACACCTATTATGGGTTGGGCGATAGACCTAATAGGGAAGTTTTATCCCCCATCGTCCAAGCAACATACATTTATTATAGTTGCAACTGATTTTCTCACTAAGTGGGTAGAAGCGATATCTTTAAAAGAAATCACCCAAAAGAGTGTCATAGAATTTATCCGTGATCATATTATTTATAGATTTGGGATTCCACAAACTTTGATGGTAGATCACAGAACTTCTTTAAATGGAGATCAAGTGAATAAATTCTTGAGCGAGTTTGGAGTTAAAGTAGTGAACTCCACACCGTATTACGCTCAATCCAACGGACAAGCAGAATCTTCTAATAAGATTTTAAAAAATATCATAAGGAAAATTATAGATGAAAATGCCAGAAATTGGCACGAATGTCTAAACAAGGCTTTATAGGCTTATAGGACGTCGCCTCGGTCAAGTACCAAAATTACTCCTTTCCAACTTACTTATGGACAGGAGGCCGTTTTGCCTATGAAAATTAACGTGCAATCGATCAGAATGTGTTTGCAATATAAATTAAGTGATGATGAGTATACCGAATCACTAGTTCAAAACTTATTGGAGTTGGACGAATAAAAGTTGGACATCCTAGATAGATTGCAAGTTCAAAAACAAAGGATGACTAAGTTTTATAATAAAAAAGTTATAGTCAAGTCATTTAGCCTGGGCGAATTGATTTGAAAAACAATACTCCCTTTAGATAGCAAGGATCCAAAATATGGCAAGTGGTCGCCCAATTGGGAAGGGTCATATAAAGTAAATAATGTGTTGTCTAATGGAGCCTATCATTTGGAAGATTTAGATTGCACCAAGCACATGAGGTTCATTAATGGAAAATATTTAAAAAAAATATGTTCCTTCCTTATGGGAAAGTGAACAAATAAAAGCGTAATCAAATCGCGTTGAACGATCGTATATAAAAAGGGTCAGAATGAAATACGTTCAAATAAATTTCTTTATTATCAAACATTCATTACAAATTGCGAGACACAAAATAATAAATGCTCTATAAGCTACAAGTGAGAGCAAACTAATCTCTCGGTCGATCGCCAAGTAAGAGGGTGAACTGGCCTTGATTGACATCCTGATCGCACTGCTGCAAAGGCAGGCAGAGAGGCCGAAAAGCACTCTCAGCAAGCAACAGGAAAGAAAAGCACCTTCACATCGCCTGCCTAGTCGCGTTGCTGCAATAATGGGCATGGAGACTGAGAAGCACTCTCAGCAAGCAAGGTGGCTTGATAGGCATCCTCAAAAATTACCATCCATCATTGAACTCCTTGTAAAGAACATGGAGACGATGAGAAAAACTTCGCTGGCTGAAGAATATTTTCTATATCTCCCATACCAAAGGTGGCATCAAAATAAATAGCCAAATGGGTAGATCAAATGATCCATTTCTATGGAAAACGAAAATTTTGGATCGATTATTGAAATGTCAAATGATGGCAGCAAATTAGTTTTTGAAGAAAAGTGAAAATAAAAATGAAAAGTGCGAAATATACGTGCATTTATAGGGGCGTAAAGGTAAAGAGATAGAATATGAACGGCCACATTCGTGCCTAGTAATTGGAGTCAAGTGGCCCAAAGTCTTAGGAAAAGAGACAGAAATACCAAGAGAGAATGTACATGAATCTTAGCATAAAGCAGTTAAATGCTTGGGGGATAGACGATTAAGGACAACGTCAATTAGCACGTAAATAGTCAAAATAGTCGTTCATTAATGACAATGGCTGCTGTTACATTCAAATTTAGCAATGGCAGTTAGTACGAAATTACAAAAGAAAAATTTAAGACATTAGATGTCTTAATTACAATTCACCCCAGGCCGATCGAATTTTTTTCCTAAGTCTCCCCCAATCCTCGCTCTGCTGAGAAGAAGCGACATTTAATTCAGCTACAAAATCGTCATCAACCTCCAGCTTTTTGTACTGATCGGCCAAAGACTTGGTTCACTCAATTTCTTGGGAAGCATTACGCTTTTTGGCAGCCATTCTCGCCCTACAGTCGTCCATTTTTGCTTGTAGCTCCTTCATCTCTGCAGCTAAACTTGTCATCAAAGAGTCTTCAACCATAATTTCGGAAGAGATTTCTTTTAATTCGTCCTCGGCTTTGTTAATCTCTAGAAGCAAAGACTCTCTTTCAGATGCAGCGTGAAGATATTGAGTACTCCTGGCCTTCAGTTCAACATTTTTGGCCAGCAAGAAGAGGATGTCAGAGTGGACAACCTTCAACGTCGCTTTAAAATCAGCAATAATATTGAGCGATGAAAGTGTCAGTGCTTGTGCCAACTTCGTACTCAATAGCTCAAGCTTATCCTTGTGTTTAACAACACTTGCCTGGCCGATGTCCATGTCCATGTCCATAAAAGACATATACTCAAATATCGACTGCTTGAGGAACTTCATATCTTCCTCTGAAGAAGTAGAAGGACGACCGGTTGAAGTAGGGCGAGATGTCTTGACTTGCCCCCAGGAAGTGAACAAGTCCTGGATGGAACGCACAATATCATCAGCACCCTGCAAAGAAAAATGCCAACATTGAGGGCTTTCACTACAATAAACGAAGCGAAAATGAAAGTAAAGCAAAAAGATACCTTATCAGCAATCTTGGGAAGTGACATATCACCAGTTGGCTCCACCACCTATGGAGACTTCCCCTTATTTGGGCGAGAAGACTCTGTCACAATGGGCAAATCCATGGGAGCCTCTGCAGAATTCAAGAAGCAACAAATCAGAAACCAATAGCACAAGCAAAGGTAAAACATCAAAAAAAATGTATTACCTTCTGGTTCGATGTTTGGGGGGTTGGCACCCTGGGAAGAAGGTGGCTCTTCCATTGGTTGTGATGAAGGTTCCGGGACTGAAGGTTTCTCTTTAAGCATAGTCCCTTCATCAGCTGATTTGGACGAAGTAACTTCAGCACAGGATGATGGAGCAGGAGCTGCCAACACCAAAGCCTTCAAAGGAGAGGCTGAACTTTTCTGAGAAATTCAAGTAAACCGTTAGCACATAGAAAGGTATGTTTGTGAATAAACAGAATTCAATTACCTTTCTCCTAACGATGAGAGGAGCGTCATCATCATCATCCTCCAAAACGGGAGATGCTGAAGCTGACCGTTTGCGGCTTAAGGCACTCTTAGTTGCAGTAACCTTGGCAGGTAGGGAAGTAGATGGACGAATAGATTGTTTAGCACGAGCAGGGGATGAAGGATTCCTAATGGACACAGGGGTGACCAAAATAGGAGAAATGGAAGAACTGTTTGGCTGATCCAGTGAATGGAAAGCACGATTGACATCAGTCGCAAACAATCTGCGCTTTACTGATGGCTAGAGTTGTTCAAAAAGGGGATGGATAGCACGGCTAGAATTGAAGGGGGCTAATGAAAATTTACTCGTCAAAAGAATGTTACGAGCATCTATAGCTTGTGCCTCTGCCTTATTAATGGTGTGAAAGCGGTCTGTCAAATTTTTTGAATAGCAAGGAGGAACAAGCCAAGTTTGGCCAAAACCAAGTTGGCGAGCAAAAAATTGGGGAGCATATATTTCAACCCCAGCCTTGGCATTGGTTCCAGTTAAAATATCGTAGAACAATTCCCTCCCAATAAAAAACTGGACCCAAACAAATAGAGAGGCACTCGCACTGTCCAGGGTGGATGGAGGTTGCACATAATCTGGAGTCAAGTGAGCAGGAAAAGGAAAGAAGGAAGGAATCGAATTTAAGGTATAAAAGAATGAAAAAATGTCCCCACTGGACATATTTACAGGGTTCAATGGGTCAATGGTTAGCCCATAGCAGCTAGCAGAACGAAGGGAAATGGATGGAGCACCAAGTGGCGGAAAGTATGCTCTCAACCACAGTTGAGTGAACCAAAAGGGCCCACTGCCAGTGGGAGATGCACTATTCTTCAATTGAGATTGAAGGGAAGTCATGGCTCTATAAAGGGCAGCTAAAAAGAAGGAACATAAGTTCAAAGGCCTACCATGCGCCAATTCATACGCTATGGGTAAGTAGCTCATAGAAGGTTTCGTACTTGGCACGCAGAGAATATATATACAGAGCCAAATTTGAAGAAATGCCACACGCTCAGTATGGGAGGGTTCAGCTCTTGAATGATTATAAAAACCTTGCATGCTTGAATAGGACTCCATAAGTTTCTTGTCAAATTTCAAGCCGAAACTGGAAATCAAGATATCAAGAAAGATGGTATCGCCCAAAGGCGGAAGATTTACTAGAGCTCCAACATCCCTTAAAGTAATAGACATGGGACTAAGAGGGAAAATGAAAGTATTATATTCATAAGACCAAAAACTCAAAGCAATCAGAAAAAGCACTGGGTTGAAAATTGGGGGTTGAAGAGCGATTTCTAATAAGTCTGAAATTCTAGCACGATCAAAAATCGCCTTGGTAGGGCCATGATTCATAAGACGTGCATGCCATCTACGAAAAATAACATCAGCTTTAGGTCAAGTGCAAATACCTTTTTCGTGAATCAGCCTCAATGACAGAGAGTTCAGGAACAGAGGGTCTTGAGTGCAAGGGAACAGCTGGCCCACCGCCACTTGTCCAACGACTTCGGCATTATTGAATGAAGGACCCAGATAGAATTCATTGAGGTCAGCATTGGCTTGTGCAAGGAAGTTTGGATTTACATATGGCCTAGTAATGATTTTCTGGAAATCTTCGAAACTAAAAGAATCATCAGATTGAGTTTGTGAAGTCGCCATTGGGTGCAAAGTACATTTTTGTTAAAAGTTGCCTGAGAAACATAGCAGAGAAGCAAGAAGATGAACAGTAAAATAGTGAGGAGGAAGTGCGAAATATAGAGACGTGGTTTAGTGGTGCGATGAAATGGCGTGTCTTTTGGGTTTATAAGGGTTTGTAACGTCGCACATTTTCAAACTATAGAAGGAAATAATGATTGAAATTCTTGAGAATTTCAAATGTTGCGAAAATACAAAGTGAATATGACAAAGATTAATAATTGGTATTATTTCTGCTATATTGGGGGTATTTGTTGACACACTAAAAGTACAGCCCAAATCAAATAGCCCAAAGAGTGAAGCCCAATTGGGGAGTCCAGAATAAAGGTCCAAACATGATTAATGATGAATGCAGTGGAAGCCCACGAACACAATAACATTATCGCCCAAGCTTGCAAGACGCCCAAAAGTTGAGCGAATGGAATGCCTTACGGTCGTCCAGAGCGATGACCCCGCTCTCGTCCAAACCTTCGAATCGCCCAAGATCTTAGCAAACATAAAATATTATGGTTATCCAGAATAGCAGTTATTGAAGTAGTTGTTGAGTAATCTTATCACATTCCACGATTCAAGGAGCCCAGTTGAAGGCGGTTGAACGACAAAGAGTAATGGCAGCAGTCAGAGACGGCAGTTCCACGACAAGTTAGCCACCATAAAGAAAGTGGGTAGTTATAAGCAATCAAGCAGTTTCCAATCGGTTTGTCACGAGGAAATCATCAAGGGAATATAAAAAGGAAGAGAAAATATAAAGAAAAGACCCCGGAATCAAACACTCTCAAATAGAGAATATGTAATTTTAATTTTTTAGCTTAAATTTAAACACTTCTTTTAGTACTCGTGTGCTTGCGCTCCTCGAAAGTATTCTGTTTATTTCCAATTGTAAATCATCATCAATAAAAAACCCCTTTTTGAGACTTTGTCTCAAGAGGTGTGTTTCTTACACAATCATCTGATCCTTTTTTTAATTGTTAGTGACTACTCGCGCGAAACAAATTCATATATTTTCGAGTATTTAACTAACTTCTCTAATACAAAATGGATTTCAACGATTTGATATGAGCGTGACCATCCGTAACCCTTTTACTGGTTCACATGGATAAAAAAACCGGATTTCAACGATTTGATATGAGCGTGACCATCCGTAACCCTTTTACTGGTTCACATGGATAAAAAACCTTGATAATTTCCGTGCAAGAGCAATTGTCCGAAATAACAAGATATTTAAAAAAAATAAAAAAATATAAAACCAAAAAAACCAAAAACTAATGAAACTTATCTAACAAGTTTCACAAACACTATTATCAAATTATTGCAACTTATGTAAGCATCAATTACAGCAATCTCTTGTTTGATAGATAATCATCACTTCTTTTTGAAAGTTAGCCGTTGAATAATTCATTTGTATTTAGATAAAGAAATAAAGGTCAAGATTAAGTAGAATATCTCCAACTAATATTATTTGATGATGCATGACCGATATGTGAATAATAATAAAATAGTCTTACTCATAATACAGAGTGATGCTTAAATTTCGTTCGAACGAAAATGAGATATGCTAGAATCTACTAAAAAGGGAACAATTGGAATCTTCTTAATGAAAATGGTTGTAGGATTTTCAAACAGTTAACATATATTTAAAGAGTCAAAATGAATCATAATCAAAGCGAAACCTTAATTCAGCTAAAAAAAATGATGAAAATACCCTTAAAATTGATTTAAAATATAAAAATGTTGAAAGTTATGCATGTTTCTATATATCCTTATTTCTCCTCTTTTCCAACTGATTTATGATTTTCTTTTCTGCATCACTTGACAATTGGCATCAAATAAAATACCTATCAAGTAACTTTTTTTTTAATTCTATTTATATCAAATTACACTTATAAATATACAAAATAGCATGTCCTTACAGAGTGTTTTCAAGTTAGATAAATAACTAAACTCAGAAGAAAATGTTCGATATTTTATTACATCCTCTAACAAATAAATTTAGCTGAGCATCAATGTGGTGGGAATGTGTTTTTTTCTAAACATGCTTGAAATATAAAAAACACATGCTAGAAACAAAGTCTGTAAAAGTGTTACAAGTAGTAATTATTTTACTTCATTTCAATAGTAATTCGTATTTAGGCTTCGTTTGAAAATATTCTTGAAAAGTCAAAAACTACTACTGAAATCAAGAATTTACTTTTGAGCATTTTACATATTTTTTTGGAAGTGAAACAAATAAAAATAAACGGGGTGTACCGGATATGGAGGCGGAATGAGGTGAAGAAAATATCCGATGGGACGGAGGACATGAATGATTGCCCCGACCCACCCCGTTGCTATCCCTACTTATCATTATTAAGTTATGTGGTAATTTTACCTTTCAAGTGTATTACTAGAATACCAGCAGGAAATAGGGACGAAAAATTCCTTATGTTGTTCCCTTTAAAGGAAAGTAAAGCTACCAAATTCATTGCCGAGAAGGGTTAAAAATTCGAGCAGATCCTCAAACTTCTCTTGTTACAATTGAATCACTTAAATTTAAGTCATCTCGTCCAACTACATTATCTTGTTAGCTAAAAAGTGGCATCTGGGTTAATATGATATAACTTGAATAAATTTGATTTAGCACAATGCCAGGTTGGTATCTCTAATTCAAACAATATTATAAATTTAATGACTCACATCTTTGATGCAGTCATCGATTTTTTCAAGAGTTCACAATTCTCACTAGCAAATAAGAATATTCTACTCACTTGTAACTTGTAAGACCTTAAAGATTTGAAATGTTCTAGAGAAGAATAAGAAAATGCAGATCCAACAGGTTTTGTCCCATGTCTTTTATTAAACTCATGCGCCCACCTTATTCTTCATTATTACATTGCCCTTTCTCAACGTTCCTATTTTTAAACTCCACTGGAGGCAAATGAATTTAAACCTTGACCCCACCCCACCCTCTCTCTCTCTCTCACTGCGTATATAGATAATACAAGGCAAGGATTGGAATTCTGGGTAAAATTCTTCAAATGGGATGTTTTCTTGCCTGTTTTGGCTTCAAGAAGAAGCGAAAACGTCGAAAGCCGGGCAATAAAAATCTATCGGGAGAAGAGGTAAGATACACTTGAAACCCCTTCGACTAATGCTGTAAATTATTCTTGAAAATTGATACTTAATGCATTTGTTTCTTACATTTTCCAGGGCCATGGAAAGTATATGCCTTTAGATTCTGATGTCACTGTTAAACTTGATACAAAACCAGAGCCCATCACCTCAGATTCTAAGCTCAAGTGAGTTTCTTTTGGTTTCGAGTTTCATTCCTTTATAAAAAAAAATGCCGGGATATCTTAATCTATGTTATTAATTTTGATTTTTGTAGAGAAAACCAAAAAGATGAACCAAAGTTGAAAATCAAAAAGAAAGTGAGCTTCAATTTGAATGTCAAGGCTTATGAACCAATACAAAATTATGACGCGTACCTTTCAGAGGGCGAAGAGGAGACGAACCTACCTGTTTTGCGCTGTGACGAGGATTCATTAGAATCGAGCATCAGATCGTACCCTCAAAATTACAGATACCAGAAGTGTATAGAAGGCTATGATGATGAAGACGATGAGATAAAATTAGAGGAAAGTGATTTCTATTACGATGATATTTATGATAGTTGTGAAGAATTGGAAGATGATTACAGCAATAATGAAAGTGATGATTTATCGAAAATCCAAGAAGATTCTTCTTGGCAATTGAATTCTGCAGATATGAAATCAAACTATGGAGTAACAAATTTTCCCATGCCATTCCATGATGTGTCTAATAAAGATTTCCAGAGACTTGAATCAAATTGTCATACTCGAGACAGGAGTGTGCTCAATCCAGTCGAAAATCTCACGCAGTGGAAAGCAATTAAAGCTCAAGCAAGATCACAGTTCAAGCGCCAAAAGGAAAATATCATGGTAGAGAAAGAACAAGAAATTCCCTCGACTACAGATCCCAGTTATTTTCCTAAAGCAGAGACGAATTTCGCTACTATATCTCAACTCACAGTGCCAGTTGATGCCAGTCTCTCAAACTGGTTGGTTTCTACACAAAAACTATAAGCAAGAACAACATCAGTGCAATAACATGAGCCGGCGTTTGTCATATGCTGCTCCGATTTGTATTACAAGAAGTCACTTATTATCGATAAAAGGCAAGAAGAAAGTTATCAGAGATTTGCAGGAAGATATTGTTTGTATTTCCTTTCACACAGAGTGGAATAATCAGCAACTGTTTTGGTTTGTGTTCCTTTGTTTAGGAGTTTTTTCGACTCGTCATTCGGTGGCTTATTGTGTTTGGTGATTTCTGTATTGTGGTAAGAATGATCTGCTTTTTGTAACACCTTATTAGACATGGACAGGGGGAGATATATATTTTCAGAATTATAATGTTTGATCTTTCCAATAAGAACTACACAAATCCTTTTTCACTGTTCCATTCGGTTCATTGCTAAATAAAACGGGAAAATTTAAAACAACTATATCATTGGCAACTAAACTATACTATGTCATTGGCCCCTTTCTCTTCTAATCTCAAGCAAAAGCTTCTTTAAGTATATACAGAACGGTTGTGCTACATATATATAATAATTTGTATATATATGATGTGATGAGATATGATTAGATCAAAATTTCTTCAATAAAAATAAAATAAAATTCTCCACCACATCTCATTTGTGTGTAAACCATTATGTAATTCCATTATAAATAAGTAGTATTATTCCATGCCGAACACCATTCATTTCTAATCAAGTTAATTCAGACAGGTAAAATTTTGAAGTTGAAATACAGAAAAAGAAAAAACTGTGTCATTGCTAGATACTGATATCATGAAGAATTTTTGACATTGTACAATCCTGATCCATTTCTGTTCGATAAAGACGACAAGAACCAACAACAAAAAGTAGCAGAAATGAGGTGAAAACATTACAATATAGAAGCACTTCGAATGCTCTGTGAGTACTATACATATACACATTACTGATATTTGAAATGAAAGACGGAAGGAATGCTCCGACTTTCGAGGAAGCTGCAATGGTCTATATCTGCATTTTGGCACGAAGTAACAGAATTGATATGCTCCAAACACCGAATATCTCGAACTAAAAGTAGATTTGGTATTGTTAATTCCGACTCCTTCAGAATACCACAAAATGGTGTCGTAACAAGAAAATGAGTCGTAAGAGAAAGAGATCCACTAGGCTGAAATATTTCAGCTTTATCTTCAGTATGAGAGTCATAGAAGATTAACTTCTGACTGATCCAAGATAACTACCAAGAAGATGTTCTAGTGATATGATCTACATTATTCTACAGATGCAAGAATCTGAATCTTCCTCGTTTGAGTCACTCATATCACTGCAAGGAAAATGAACGATAGTGAGGACAGAATAACAGATACAACTGAATATAATAATCTAGTCAACAGTTCATGACGGAATCTAATGCATCATTGCTATGTAGGTTTCTTTTCTCAGATGTATAATGAACCGAGACATCCCTACAAAGAGAATGGCAACATTCAATTTGGACAGCGCACATGAACAAAGGAAAAAGGGGGTTCTCAAATGTCACTCTCAATATTTACCAAATACCAAATCAAAGATAACGGCCAGAAGAATACAAAGTACTAATAAAGCAAAAAAGGTGATAGTTACCGATGGATGAATACACACTAAGGTGCCAAATTTTGGGAAAAGCAGAACTTCTTCATAATACACAAACTAAAGAGAAATTAGACACTTGATATGTAATAGCAATTGTATCCAATGATATTTCAAGATTAAAGAGACTTAATCAACATAAAGTACTCCTTTGTAATTCCAAATATATGAGATCCATTTTAAACTGAAATAGGATAAAGGAGAAAGGTTACTGAATTTTCTAGGAGAAAAAAGCTGTTACAAATGAACAATCATGTGAACTGAGAGATAAATTGTATTGATCTTTTCAATCTACACGTTACTGAATCTTATCAGTGAAAACGTCTCACAACAAAGTCCACTACAAGCATACTATACATGTTTCTAATGAACTCTTAACTGCCACAAGTAGTTATAGTGTAATGGTAGATATGAAATCATATTTAACCACAATAATGAATTCAAAGTTTGCAAAATGAATTTGAACAACATGATATCTGCTTCTAACATTATTTCCAACTCAATATTTGGAACTCAAATGTGCCAACAAGGCATGGAGCAGGGGTGGCATAAATTGAAGCACATTATAGGAAACTTGATGAAATGGAGACTCTTTAGAGATTTGATAACCATTTAAGAATTGTGTATTAATAAAGAGATTTGGATAGGGGCTATGCCCTCTTCAGTTAGTTGAATTATACCCTATTGAATCATCCCATAAAAGTCCTAATCCGTCTTCCTCCCATGATAGCCTTCTGATGATTGATTAGTAGGGATAAAACTGTGCACCAAATCATCTTCATATACGACCTTCAATACCAGGGCAAAACTTGTAATAAAAAGTAAAATAAAAATGCTTTTGAAAAGAATTTATAAAACTGACTAGTTCGTCATCCTAAATAGATTTATCCTAAGGGCAATGCAAGAATGGGAAAAAAAGGTTGACCAACTTCCTAAATTAACCTCCTCCGACCCAGAATTTACTGAATAGAACCTAAAATAAGAATAAAGTAGAGCTATGAGAACGTGACTAAGAAGTTGACTATTCGCATTAAAATTCCAAGAATAAGATCACTAATTGCATCCCAAAAAATTAATGCTTCTAATGTTAGCTTAGCTAGCTGAGACAGTTGCATGTGTTTACAATACGTAAGCATACAAACAATGCTCCCTATGGCCACCCATGTTCCTCATAATAATGTTATTTCCTTGTCTTCCATATATATAGCTTTCTCTATTCTCTATTTCCCTACCCTCCCTTCCCCAACCACTATAATGAATTCTTAGGTTATAATTACATATACTCGTAGTCCTCAAGTACATGTGGTCAACAAAGAACTCCTTATCGACGCAAGAATTCATGAAAAAGTTATCTCCTTACTAACCACAAAAAATTTGGGACCACAAGATAAATCCTTGCATGACTATCACAAAGAGAAAAACCTTTGTCATCTAGTATCTCAGTCCAGTCAGTTTTATTGCTATTCTACATTCTACAGTGAATAATTGTTCATTCTCAATATGCACATACATATTCATACAATCACCTTTTATTTCTTCTCTAGAACTAACTAAAAGACCAAATCAAAGAATGCAACTAAGCACCAGAAACACAAACACACTTCCCTACAAAGTACAAATCACAACAGATAATCAAATTTCCTCAATTTTGATCAAAATTAAGCAACCACAATTCACAGAAACCAAAGAGAAGACAGTATTTTCATTACCTAGGTTGAAATTCCAAAACCTCAGCTAGCTTATCCCCATTCTTATCCAACCACTGCACTTTCCTCCTAGGTTTCCCTTTGTTTTTGGACAGCCCACCTTTCTTGGATGGCAACAATGTCCGTGATTCGTCATCTCCTTCAATTTCCTCATTCAAAATCACCTTTGGAGACTCCACACTATTCACAATGTTAGTATTATTTTTATGATTTTTAACATCCTTTCCATTCATATCCATGGAGAGAAACCGTGCTATCAAAGATCTATATTCAACTATAAATATCAAGAAAGAGAGGATCTTTCATCGATATTTAACACGAAAACAAGAACCCATTAATCAAAAACCGATAACTAAGCATCCAAAAAAAAAAAAAAAAATTGAAGTTTCGATATTTGATAGTGAATTTTTAAGAACTGGATGCAATCAAGAAAGTCAACTCATGATCCGACCCAGAAAACAATAAATCGGAAACCATTTGATCAGAAAGTGAAGAATATTTTAGCAACGTGGAATTGCATAGATTTTCGAAAGAAAACCGAAAAACACAATGAAAATTTTCAAAAATAACAAAGATCATAGAATTCCTGACAGCCTAGAAAATTAAAAAAAATGCAAAAGCTGTATTCTTTAGGTATTTTAAAATATATTTAAAATAAAATTGATATCTTTAGTAATGTGAAGCCAAGATATAGAGACACAGATGGACACAGATCGAAACCCGTGAAATCTAAGGAACAGAAAGAAAGAGGAGAGAGAGAGAGGGAGAGAGTTTACATGTGTAATGAATCTTCCATTATTTTACGGGCGAATACTCGTTAGTTGTTTGTTTGCATTAAGGTAAACAACTCTTATTAGAAATATTATTAAAGCCAAATTTTGGAAATATTATACTAATTAACAAATTCAGAGTCAGTCAGTTAATGAAAATGGCCATCATCATCATCATAATCATCCCGCAAAATGGGAGATGCTGAAGCTGGCCGTTTGCAGCTTAAGGCACCTTTAGCTGTAGTAGCATTGGCATGTGGAGAAGCAAATGGACAAATAGGATGTTTAGCGCGAGTAGGGGAGGAAGGATTCTTAATGGACACAGGGGTGACCAAAATAGGAGAAGTAGAGGAGGTATCTGGCTGATCCAGTAAATGGAAGGCACGATTAGCATCAGTTGTAAACAATCTGCGTTTTACTGATGGTCAGAGCTGTTCAAAAAGAGGATGGACGACACAGCTAGAATTGAAAGGGACTAATGAAAATTTGCTCGTCAAAAGAGTGTTATGAGCATCTACAGCTTGTACTTCTGCCTTATTAATAGTGTGAAAATGATCTGTCAAATTTTTGGAGTAGCAAGGAGGAATAGGCCAAGTTGGCGAGCAAAAAATTGGGGAGCATATATTTCAACCCCAGCCTTGGCATTGGTTCCAGTTAAAATATCGTAGAACAATTCCCTCCCAATAAAAAACTGGACCCAAACAAATAGAGAGGCACTCGCACTGTCCAGGGTGGATGGAGGTTGCACATAATCTGGAGTCAAGTGAGCAGGAAAAGGAAAGAAGGAAGGAATCGAATTTAAGGTATAAAAGAATGAAAAAATGTCCCCACTGGACATATTTACAGGGTTCAATGGGTCAATGGCTAGCCCATAGCAGCTAGCAGAACGAAGGGAAATGGATGGAGCACCAAGTGGCGGAAAGTATGCTCTCAACCACAGTTGAGTGAACCAAAAGGGCCCACTGCCAGTGGGAGATGCACCATTCTTCAATTGAGATTGAAGGGAAGTCATGGCTCTATAAAGGGCAGCTAAAAAGAAGGAACATAAGTTCAAAGGCCTACCATGCGCCAATTCATACGCTATGGGTAAGTAGCTCATAGAAGGTTTCGTACTTGGCACGCAGAGAATATATATACAGAGCCAAATTTGAAGAAATGCCACACGCTCAGTATGGGAGGGTTCAGCTCTTGAATGATTATAAAAACCTTGCATGCTTGAATAGGACTCCATAAGTTTCTTGTCAAATTTCAAGCCGAAACTGGAAATCAAGATATCAAGAAAGATGGTATCGCCCAAAGGCGGAAGATTTACTAGAGCTCCAACATCCCTTAAAGTAATAGACATGGGACTAAGAGGGAAAACGAAAGTATTATATTCATAAGACCAAAAACTCAAAGCAATAAGAAAAAGCACTGGGTTGAAAATTGGGGGTTGAAGAGCGATTTCTAATAAGTCTGAAATTCTAGCACGATCAAAAATCGCCTTGGTAGGGCCATGATTCATAAGATGTGCATGCCATCTACGAAAAATAACATCAGCTTTAGGCCAAGTGCAAATACCTTTTTCGTGAATCGGCCTCAATGACAGAGAGTTCAGGAACAGAGGGTCTTGAGTGCAAGGGAACAGCTGGCCCACCGCCACTTGTCCAACGACTTCGGCATTATTGAATGAAGGACCCAGATAGAATTCATTGAGGTCAGCATTGGCTTGTGCAAGGAAGTTTGGATTTACATATGGCCTAGTAATGATTTTCTGGAAATCTTCGAAACTAAAAGAATCATCAGATTGAGTTTGTGAAGTCGCCATTGGGTGCAAAGTACATTTTTGTTAAAAGTTGCCTGAGAAACATAGCAGAGAAGCAAGAAGATGAACAGTAAAATAGTGAGGAGGAAGTGCGAAATATAGAGACGTGGTTTAGTGGTGCGATGAAATGGCGTGTCTTTTGGGTTTATAAGGGTTTGTAACGTCGCACATTTTCAAACTATAGAAGGAAATAATGATTGAAATTCTGGAGAATTTCAAATGTTGCGAAAATACAAAGTGAATATGACAAAGATTAATAATTGGTATTAATTCTGCTATATTGGGGGTAATTGTTGACACACTAAAAATACAGCCCAAATCAAATAGCCCAAAGAGTGAAGCCCAATTGGGGAGTCCAGAATAAAGGTCCAAACATGATTAATGATGAATGCAGTGGAAGCCCACGAACACAATAACATTATCGCCCAAGCTTGCAAGACGCCCAAAAGTTGAGCGAATGGAATGCCTTACGGTCGTCCAGAGCGATGACCCCGCTCTCGTCCAAACCTTCGAATCGCCCAAGATCTTAGCAAACATAAAATATTATGGTTATCCAGAATAGCAGTTATTGAAGTAGTTGTTGAGTAATCTTATCACATTCCACGATTCAAGGAGCCCAGTTGAAGGCGGTTGAACGACAAAGAGTAATGGCAGCAGTCAGAGACGGCAGTTCCACGACAAGTTAGCCACCATAAAGAAAGTGGGTAGTTATAAGCAATCAAGCAGTTTCCAATCGGTTTGTCACGAGGAAATCATCAAGGGAATATAAAAAGGAAGAGAAAATATAAAGAAAAGACCCCGGAATCAAACACTCTCAAACAGAGAATATGTAATTTTAATTTCTTAACTTAAATTTAAACACTTCTTTTAGTACTCGTGTGCTTGCGCTCCTCGAAAGTATTCTGTTTATTTCCAATTGTAAATCATCATCAATAAAAAACCCCTTTTTGAGACTTTGTCTCAAGATGTGTGTTTCTTACACAATCATCTGATCCTTTTTTTAATTGTTAGTGACTACTCGCGCGAAACAAATTCATATATTTTCGAGTATTTAACTAACTTCTCTAATACAAAATGGATTTCAACGATTTGATATGAGCGTGACCATCCGTAACCCTTTTACTGGTTCACATGGATAAAAAAACCGGATTTCAACGATTTGATATGAGCGTGACCATCCGTAACCCTTTTACTGGTTCACATGGATAAAAAACCTTGATAATTTCCGTGCAAGAGCAATTGTCCGAAATAACAAGATATTTAAAAAAAATAAAAAAATATAAAACCAAAAAAACCAAAAACTAATGAAACTTATCTAACAAGTTTCACAAACACTATTATCAAATTATTGCAACTTATGTAAGCATCAATTACAGCAATCTCTTGTTTGATAGATAATCATCACTTCTTTTTGAAAGTTAGCCGTTGAATAATTCATTTGTATTTAGATAAAGAAATAAAGGTCAAGATTAAGTAGAATATCTCCAACTAATATTATTTGATGATGCACGACCGATATGTGAATAATAATAAAATAGTCTTACTCGTAATACAGAGTGATGCTTAAATTTCGTTCGAACGAAAATGAGATATGCTAGAATCTACTAAAAAGGGAACAATTGGAATCTTCTTAATGAAAATGGTTGTAGGATTTTCAAACAGTTAACATATATTTAAAGAGTCAAAATGAATCATAATCAAAGCGAAACCTTAATTCAGCTAAAAAAAAATGATGAAAATACCCTTAAAATTGATTTAAAATATAAAAATGTTGAAAGTTATGCATGTTTCTATATATCCTTATTTCTCCTCTTTTCCAACTGATTTATGATTTTCTTTTCTGCATCACTTGACAATTGGCATCAAATAAAATACCGATCAAGTAACTTTTTTTTTTTTTTTTTAATTCTATTTATATCAAATTACACTTATAAATATACAAAATACCAAGTCCTTACAGAGTGTTTTCAAGGTAGATAAATAACTAAACTCAGAAGAAAATGTTCGATATTTTATTACATCCTCTAACAAATAAATTTAGCTGAGCATCAATGTGGTGGGAAATTGTTTTTTTCTAAACATGCTTGAAATATAAAAAATACATGCTAGAAACAAAGTCTGTAAAAGTGTTACAAGTAGTAATTATTTTACTTTATTTCAATAGTAATTCGTATTTAGGCTTTGTTTGAAAATATTCTTGAAAAGTCAAAAACTACTACTGAAATCAAGAATTTACTTTTGAGCATTTTACATAATTTTTTGGAAGTGAAACAAATAAAAAATAATAAAAATAAACGGGGTGTACACTTTAACCAAAGATGGAGGCGGAATGAGGTGAAGAAAATATCCGATGGGACGGAGGACATGAATGATTGCCCCGATCCACCTCGTTGCTATCCCTACTTATCATTATTAAGTTATGTGGTAATTTTACCTTTCAAATATATTACTAGAATACTAGCAAGAAACAAGGACAAAAAATCTCCAAAAAAATTCCCCGTGTTGTGCCCTTTGAAGGAAAGTAAAGCTACCAAATTCATTCTCGAGAAGGGTTAAACATTCGAGCGGATCATCAAACTTCTCTTGTTATAATTGAATTACTTAAATTTAAGTCATCTCCAACTACATTATCATCGGGGTTAATATGATATAACATGAATAAATTTGATTTAGCACAATGTCAGGTTAGTATTTCTAATTCAAACAATATTATAAATTTAATGAGTCACATTTTTAATACAGTCATCGATTTTTTCAAGAGTTCACAATTCTCGCTAGCAGACGAGAATATTTTACTCACTTTTAACTTGTAAGACCATAAAGATTTGAAATGTTCTAGAGAAGAATAAGAAAATGCAGATCCAACAGGTTTTGTCCCATGTCTTTTATTAAACTCATGCG